TTTTAGCATGATATATACAGAGTGTGCTACAATAACATATCTCCGTACTATATAATTGGAACATTTTAACTATATGTTTTAGCATGATCTATACACAGTGTGCTACAATACATATCTCCTTACTATATAATTGGAACATTTTAACTATATGTTTTAGCATGATATATACAGAGTGTGCTACAATACATATCTCCTTACTATATAATTGGAACATTTTAACTATATGTTTTAGCATGATATATACAGAGTGTGCTACAATACATATCTCCTTTTCAAGTGCTTTTAAACATTCATGGAAATGCTCAGAATTTTCCAAAAACAAAAGGCTTAACACACACAAATGTTGCCTATAATTTTAGCTTGATAGCTTATATTAAAACGCGTTTTTATTGTCTTTATTCATATTTAGAGACTTTTCTGCCAACAGCGTTGACTTGTTTTGTCAGAATTTTGATAAAAGGGTTAACACAAAAATGTTGTCTAAAATGTTAGCTTTATATCTTCTTATGTCTATAGGATTATTAACAATCTGCTTACAGTTGGCTTATAATTGTTCATATGCTATTGTAGAAATGTTATTACATATGTCAGTTTAATGAATATAAGACTTATTTTTTTACTCACAGTGTTGATTTGTTTCGATGCTAAAATATATCATTTTTTTACAAGCAAAGTAAAAGACTTAGGTTTTTGCTAAATTTAACAATCGTTGAAATTTTATGCAGAATTTCATAAATACGTAAGTTGTGATTGAAATATTTTATATGAAAGCAGAATATCTATTAAGAAACCCGCATGTTTTATTAACTACTATGCATCTTATTTGATTCCACGTGCGGAACATAATGCATACTTTAACAATAATACATAAAACTACGTGATAAAACTAGACAGCAATTTTTGAAAGAGATTAACTTCATTCTTGTTAAGCTGTTTACAATCTATTCAAACACATGCAACAGTGAAAGGAAACTTAGAATCTATGTTGGGGCTCATCAGTTGACATCTCTTCAAGTTAACAAAGCTATAGAAACTAGCAAGCGATATACAAGACACAAAGTAAATAATAATATCGTAGTTTCCACTACTGAAGTAGAAACACCAATACGTAAAAGATAACAGGATGGGAATAAATATATCAATTAAACCTGTTTAAATACATGTAATACGGCTGCAAAGGAGTAACTTTTGTATACAAACAATCTGTAAAAATGATCTAAATCAGACGTATATTAAGTGTCCAAATCAACCGTATATGAAAATTGTACAAATCCACCTTGTATTAATCTTATCCCAATCACCTTGTGTAAGGATTATTCAAGTCAAGGAGATATGAAGATTATCAAATCATCCTTGAATGAAGCTCATCCATATCAAGCAGATATATATATATATTACAACTTTCTAAGAAGCTAATTCTTGTCAACCAAATATTAAGATGTACCAGTCCACCTTGTATGAAAATTCTACAAGTTAATAATGTATAAGTACTATCCAAATCAACTCTGTTTGAATATTGTACAGATCAAGTAAACCTTGTTTAAAGACAAATGAATGGTGAATGAGAAATGTTCTAAATCAACCCTCTATGAAAATTGTACAAATACACCCTGTATCAAGATATTACCTATAAACCCTGTATGAAGATTTTCTTACCAATGAAACCGCGATTGTACGAATTACCCTTTTATGACAATTATTTAGATAATTATTGTGATAATGAAGTACGCCTTTTAAGGTGTAAAGTGTGGATTGTGATAATGAAGTACGCCTTTTAAGGTGTAAAGTGTGGATTGTGATAATGAAGTACGCCTTTTAAGATGTAAAGTGTGGATTATGATAATGAAGTACGCATTTGAAGGTGTAAAGTGTGGATTGTGATAATGAAGTACGCCTTTTAAGGTGTAAAGTGTGGATTGTGATAATGAAGTACGCCTTTGAAGGTGTAAAGTGTGGATTGTGATAATGAAGTACGCTTTTTAAGGTGTAACGTGTGGATTGTAATAATGAAGTACGCCTTTTAAGGTGTAAAGTGTGGATTATGATAATGAAGTACGCCTTTTAAGGTGTAAAGTGTGGATTGTGATAATGAAGTACGCCGTTTAAGGTGTAAAGTGTGGATTGTAATAATGAAGTACGCCTTTTAAGGTGTAAAGTGTGGATTATAATAATGAAGTACGCCTTTTAAGGTATAATGTGTGGATTGTAATAATGAAGTACACTTTTAAGGTGTAAAGTGTGGATCATCGTGGGTATATCTGATTTTGTTGAAGAATACCTAAAACTAAACAAATGTTAATAATCTGTCCAACGCATCATGTTCATGTTTACTAAACTATTTCAGGAAGGAAACTCGTAATGAAACACTAACAAACTAAACTAAAATCACGCAACTCAATAAAACTAAACGTTGATATACATGTAGCTTTAGGGAGTTAAGCGTTGTATAATCACAGGAGATTAAATCATTTACGACTCTTTAAATTAACTTCCAATAGCTAAGATCTCTCTCTCTCCTCCTGATAGGAATTTAGGTCTTTGTGAGCTAGGAGGGTCAGGTGCACTGGGACCTCTTCCTTAGCTAAGATCAACATTTTTCAAACAACTCTTTTAGATTTCGCGGTTATATAAGTTTGCTAGTTAGAAAAAAAAATGCCAAAACAAAATTTTACGATACTGATTCAAATTATACCTTAAGTAACTTTAGCATTTATATGTAAATACGTGGTCTATAAGGGCAGAGCGACACCACGAAATTAGACTGTGTGTAACTAAGAAGTGTAGGCTTATATTTGACGTTTTATCTTGGTTGTTGAAATGGGAATTAGCGTTATCTTAGCGCATAGGTAATTAGCTTTCTTTTGAATTAAGAAGCGAATAGATAGCATGACTAATTACCTGGTGTCTCTCTATTGACTATCTCAACCTTTTATATATTCAAATATTACACAATGGTATATACATTGTTTTTCTTTAGGCACGTTGATATCATTGATATTTTGTGTTCTGTTTGAAACTTTACTGCTAAATTATCTTGTTGGATTGAGCTGTTTCGTTTCTTAATTTAAATTTCGTGCAGTAATTCAGTGAAGATTTATAGTATGGAGATATGTATTGTAGCACACTCTGTATATATATATATCATGCTAAAACATAGTTAAAATGTTCCAATTATCTAGTAAATTTTTAAACATAAACAAATGCGTGTAACAAATACTTAATGAGATGTTATGCTCTTCTAATATTATTACAACAGATATTTCACAACGTTGCGGATACTACGTAACTTGCAAATATCGGATCTGGAATTATAAAAATAACAAAATAAATTGATCTAACTAATAAAAAAATAACACACGAAGCTTATAACTTTATAGACATATTAAATAAAAATGTGATCACCATTATCAACATTTCCCAACATTCACTGCGACAGTAATGCGCAGAATCATAATACAGTACCAGTATTAATTTATCAGATGTACGAGACAAGGAAGACGTATTGAAAGAAACTAATTATTTTGATACACCAGTACAAATTTCTTCTATAAACTGAATGCTTCGTCTGTCCTCTATATCGTTTCTTCAATTTCGAAACTATTTTAGGTTTGTCAAGTTCATTCTTGATATCTTTCATAACCATACATCTTTGTTGCTCTTTCTGAAACTAGGTTTGTCAAGTTCATTCTTGATATCTTTCATAACCATACAACTTTGTTGTTGTTTCTAAAACTTTAGGTTTGTCAAATTCATTCTTGATATCCTTCATAGCCATACATCTTTGTTGTTGTTTCTAAAACTTTAGGTTTATAAAGTTCATTCTTGATATCTTTCATAACCATACACCTTTGTTGTTGTTGTTTCTAAAACTTTATGTTTGTCAAGTTCATTCTTGATATTCTTCATAGCCATACATCTTTGTTGTTGTTTCTAAAACTTTAGGTTTGTCAAGTTCATTCTTGATATCCTTCATAGCCATACATCTTTGTTGTTGTTTCTAAAACTTTAGGTTTGTCAAGTTCATTCTTGATATCCTTCATAGCCATACATCTTTGTTGTTGTTTCTAAAACTTTAGGCTTGTCAAGTTCATTCTTGATATCTTTCATAACCATAAACCTTTGTTGTTGTTTCTAAAACTTTAGGTTTATAAAGTTCATTCTTGATATCCTTCATAGCCATACATCTTTGTTGGTGTTTCTAAAACTTTAGGTTTGTCAAGTTCATTCTTGATATCCTTCATAACCATACAACTTTGTTGTTGTTTCTAAAACTTTAGGTTTGTCAAGTTCATTCTTGATATCTTTCATAACCATAAACCTTTGTTGTTGTTTCTAAAACTTTAGGTTTATAAAGTTCATTCTTGTTATCTTTCATAGTCATATATTTCTGTTGTTGTTTTTTAAGTATATTTTAAATATTTTTATTACAAAACTATGGCAGAAGTGACTAAACAATGATGTGAAACAATAAATCTAGAAAAATGGTTTCTCGGCATATTTGCCGATTTTTTTTAACTAAAAGATTATGTAGAGACATGAAAAAGAATATTTAAACTTCACTCCAGAAAGCTCCAGAAAATTATAATTTTTGCAATTTTCTTGACGACAGAAAATCAAATTGAGTTTCCCAATAATTTTTATTTTTTCCATTTTTACCAAAAGACAGAAGGAAATTCATGGTTTGCGCCACCAACAATTTTTCATTTGTTTGTTTTTATAGCCAAAAAGTAGTCTATTATCAATACAATGAGGTTTCCTTGGTTACACACAGTTTTCCTCGAATAAAAATCAAACAGTTCCCTACCAATCACAGTCTTCCTTTGCCCTCCAACAGATTGCTTCGTGCTTTATAGAGCCATTGTTCAACCTTTTATTAAGTTGCGAATGCTAGGAAGATAAAAAGTCTAACTATCTAATTAAATAAATTACGAAATCGTCTTCATTCTTTTGAATTCGGAAAAAACAAATATATCTTTGAATTTCTCAGTAAGTTAAAAAGCTTTATTACACTGAATTTTAATATATATTATAGTTTAGAAGTAAACACATCTTTTATTCATAAGAAAACTGGTCAACGAACCACCAAACCCAGTACTTTAAAAACTGGAAGTCGTGAGTTTATTTCTTGAAATTTATCTGCGCAAGATGTGCATTTAGACAAGTCGTGGATCAATCTCATTAATATTTAATTTCACGTCCTGTTCATGACACAGGCTCCAGTTGCGCAAGATGTGCAATTACACAACTGAAGAATCAATCACATTACTATTTAATTTCACGTCCTGTTCATGACACAGGCTCCAGTTGCGCAAGATGTGCAATTAGAAAAGTGAAGAATCAATAACATTACTATTTAATTTCACGTCCTGTTCATGACACAGGCTCCAGTTGCGCAAGATGGACAATTAGAAATAAAGGATCAATCACATTACTATTTAATTTCACGTCCGTTTCAGTGAAGAGACGCCAGTTGCGCAAGATGTGCAATTAGAAATAAAGGATCAATCACATTACTATTTAATTTCACGTCCTGTTCAGGGAAGAGGCTCTAATGGAAATTAGAGAGGCTTACATGTCATTATTTTTAATAATTTAATGTGTACTGTTTTTGTATTAACATTTTGTTATTGTTCCTGAAGCAGTTACATTCAGGTTCATAATTTCTAGTTGAATAATTCTTCTATATGCCCAGTAAAATATAACTTTGTGTTTAATTACAACCGAAATTAAGGAACAGGTTTGTTAATTGTGAAAACTGTTTCGCGCGTGGTGAATTACATCCAAATTCGTGTTTGAATATTTGTCAGTGGTTTTTCTTTAGTAAAATCCTCATTTATATTAAATATTTTGATTATTCCTTTCACGTTATCAAATACATATTGCTTATATAAAATACAGAGTGGAAGGTTCATGCTAGGGATAAAGGTAGTATGAAAGTTCGTGACGAAAG